GTTAGTATTTGCTTCGACAAAGGACAGCCGATCCAGCTGTCCGAAAAGTCAGAAAACCTACAAATTTATTCCGGTGAGCAGAAGATGAACTCTTATCCTCAGAATGTTGTCTTCAGTTGTCGACCTTTGTCCTGTTTTTTTTTTTTAAAGCTGATGTTCTAAGACGACAATTGAAAACGGTCAAGCAATTCACTGATAGAATTCTTGAAGATATTTTCCATCCCTTCACTCTGCCCTAATGGCTACAAACTCTTCCCGTACCATGTGCCGAGGTTTTCTACATAGGCCCAGCCGCTTATTAAGCCCAATTTGGTCTGGGCCCGACGTGGGCTCAATACCCGGCGACTACTGTAATTTATCAGTGAACAGCACTGAAGTCTCGTTGTAATACCTTTTAATAATTGACATAAAACTGCCAGTTAGTTTTCCAACATGTGCTCTAAAGACTGGATGTAAAAAACAGTCTTCGCCTTACCGATTATTCTTGCCCACACAATTGTTCGTCACCGGACAGTGATGATCCATGACATCCACGCATCGGTTACACTGGCCGCAGTGCTTAGCCCGCAGTGGCTTCACACATCCGCAGGTGTGGCAGAGTCTTTGAGCCTTCTGCTTCAGGGTGCGCGCCCGCTTCTTGAAGGCACGCAGTCCAAAGGGACACAACTGTGGCCTGCCGTCCGCGTCTTCTACCCACGGAAAAGATGTAGCGGCAAGTTCTCGGCTCTCTAAAAGAATCTTTGCAGCAGACGCCAGGCTGTCAGGGCCAGCAGAGAGAGACCAGAAGAAGGGAGGAATAAACACGGGAATGCAGTTGTTTATCAGGCCAACTAAATGACACGGAAGCTGGTACCATTCTGTGCTATCAGACGGGATGAATTCAGAAATCCCAAGCAGCCACGTACGGGAAGATTACTAAACTAGCACTTTACTGTGGAATATTAACCGATAGCAGCGGTTATTGTTAGATTAAAACCTTTAGCCAAGTAGAAGAGTTCAAAGCAAAGTACTAACGCTTCATCCCCGTCTGCTGTCAAATGGACTGTGCAAGTTTCCTTATCTGAAACGATAACCGATTATCTGAAAGAAGTTCCCTTATTCTGAGTAATTCTAGTTTTCTAGGCACGACGTTCCTTTTTTGGGCGAGGGGGGACCCTGTTCGCAGACGACTAGAAATAGTGCGTATGCCCAGGAAGTAGTGATAATTGCAGATAGAAGCAAATGTGCACCTTTTAGAAGATGATGAAAAGATGTGACCATAGGGACTGGGAGCGCATTGTTCTGATGTTTTAAAAAAAACAAGCTTTCGTCTGTGTTACGGAGGCGGAACCCTTCATGCACTTACGGCAGTCAACGAGAAGAACAGGTCAGCTGGGTCATGCCCACAGTCAAGCTGCCCACGGTGGGGCATGCCCACATGCTAGCCGCCCACGCCGTTCGTCGGGCAAACGAAACGACCGCCCATATAGCGTGGACAGTGGCCGCAGTCAAGAAGGTTCCAGGATGCCTAAGCGCACAACATACGTCGAGAATATAATAGAAAGACCGGAACCATATAAATATACCGGAGTGGACAAGCTGAAGAACCCCGCTGTATTTGTGTGGGGTTAAAGAAAGCCGTTGCCAACAGAACCGTTCTCTTGCCTTCTTCTGCGTACTAGTCGGTTCAGAGCAAACTGGGCCATAGCAGTCGGAGAATGGACTGACACCAAGCTCCACAGTGTTTGATGGTTTTTACGGCTGCGTTCATTGGTTTTTACATTTGTGAGTTGATGGCGTGTTTTTTTCCTGGAATACCTTGTTTTTGCTGGTTTGATCCATCCTCTCGTGTGAAAGGAAATTATAAATTAAATCAGAATCCAAACGATAAATTTTTGATTCATTTACCTTTTCCTTTTACGACGATTTACTGATTTCGTGCCAGGCAGCTTACCGACTATGCGACTGTCGAAAATAACTGATATTCCTGTAGCTCTGGTAGGAAAGGTGCGACGAAACTACCTCGAGTTAAGTTAGTTCATATACTGTCGACGCCGGGAAATTAATAACTGCGACAGATACTTTTATACAGCCTGTAACTATAATAAGAATATGTCATTTGATAATTCACGCCAAAAAGCAAATCTTCATCTAGTGAAACTAATATTTTCAGTTGTACAAGTACTCCTTATCCATACTAAAATAAATTACTACTACCTACTAAAATCTCCATTTCAATGTCTGCACAATCGTACATGAAAGTAATGAAGCCTTGTTAACTGACTGATTTGGCTTCCAGATGCTCACGGGCACCAGAACGGGATGAGTTGTCGGTACTTACAAGGCTTGGAAACATGAATTAGATTTAAAAGCGCATCCATTATACAGAAAGCTTGCTAAATGTATTTGTTGGACCCAATTTGTATTGGGAAAGCGTGAATTACTATCTATAAATGCGATACTAGACCTTGAAAATAGGTTAAACGACGTCGTATCCTTCCGGTCCTTTGTGTGAAGTCATTTTCTGGATGAGTACTGTAATACTACGAACCAGCATTTTCAGAATTTTAGTGTAGCTCACAACACATGCTATCGACAGGCTAATGAAATAAAATGGGGCATAAGAAAATGAAAATGAATCGGAGGTGAAAAGGACAGAAAACGAAGGAAAAAATCGGTAAAAACGGCAGTATCACATCCCAATCTATGAATAGGCATCACGTCTCAACAGGAAATTACGTCTAGAAAGAACGCAAACGCTTCTGGTTTCGACAGTTAACTAAAAACACTCATTTGGATACGAACTTTCAGACATACGAACCTACAGGATGTATGCAGTAGCGTAGTACTTGTACGTTTTAGGATCCGAAAACATGTGTATTGCATTCCTATCAATGCTTATTATTGATACTTTACTTGCAAACATTTCGAATCTTGAAAGGCCGTTTGGAACGTAACCCTTAGTAAGAAGAGTTCCTGTAAAATTAAGTAATAATTTATTGTAGGGCTGCTTTAACAGGTCCGTAGGCACTGAGAAGGCAAAAACGGGCACGTTGGCCGAAGGCGAGTTCAAAAAATACTGGCTAAGATTACATTTACGTGAGTCTAAATTAATTAGTAGCTGGACTTTTGTTCTGCGTGGTAAAATTGTCAGAACGAGGGTGGCCTCGTGGGCACTGTACCCTTCCGAGGAATGCTTACTTGAGAAAATTTAATCAGGCAAACATAATTGTGAAAAAACATTAACTCCCGAAATATTATAGAAATAAAAAGTATGGGATTATGCGAAGCGCGTTTTGAAGTGTTGCACCACATGTTACCGGAGTTGAATAGGAGATAAATTACCTGAGTTAATTGACAGGAGACGACGTAGATGGTTAATGACAAAAACAGAACTAGTTAAAGGCAGATTCATACAGATTAGGCTGTTGTGAATTGTTTGGTGTCATCTGAAAGTTAGACGCATCCATAACTGACAGAGGTGAGACCGAAAGAACAAATTCCGCACCTCTTGCATAGCACTTTCATATTCGCTTGTATTCTGCGGTAAATATCCCGGATCTGCTACATATTCCTTGAAAAAACACGCCCAGAGGATGCAGTTGACCACGAAGAAAAGAAATTCATGTTGAGGGCTTAGTCTGACATCAGTTTTCCTCACCTGGTCAAGTAGTAGAAGTCAAAGAGGATTATGTTATCGGATTTCAGGGCAAAATTCGGCCCAAAACCAGGTACAGACAGTTGCAACTTTGGCTCAGCCCACGAACAGTGAAAAAAGATCACAATAAATTGGAAGTTCAATCTGTTCCTAAAAATGAAAACAGTTACTCAGTAT